TCTCCCCGTCTTTGGTTTAAATCCATCAGCTTTTAGAATTCTGGGTCCGGTTCTGGTTCTGGTTTCTGTGCAGTAGTTTTTATGTTGACTCGTGAGGACAAGACACACAAAAATATACAAATCAATAATTGATTTTTGTTTAATTGCCTGGTATGTTGAGAGTCTTCCCAGATACTGTCTTTGGTACCTGAGCTGTATGTGGGGACAGCTCCCTCTGCTGGTGTCAGACGGTGTCAGCAGTCTCAGAATGAACATTTCTCTGCATTATTTTAACTTTAACCAGGTAAAAATACTGAATTAAATATTAACTAAAACACACAGTTATTCAACTCTTTGATAAATCAGCTGACTAGTCATTTTTATGGGTTTTCTTTTAGATGAATAATTTTAGTAGAAATTCCCAAAGTGCTAAAAACCAAACATTAAACATTTGGTATGTCACCTGCTGGTGCTCATGGGAAAACATTAATCTTTTTTATATTTGTGTAAATATACATCAAAAAAATACTTTTTTTCTTTCAACCTTTATATAAATGTTGAACATCTTTTCATGTCGCTGGAAACTGGGGAAGAAGCAAAACATGAGTTCGACTTTTGTTGAGTGAAAAACCCAATAGACTTCTTGGAAATACCTCATGAATGGAATTATTCATGCAGGGATGCATTTCCATATAAATGCAATAACTTGTACAAATTATATTAATTCTCCTTCATGGTTCTGGAGGCAGTCGCAGCTCCTCCCGGTGGACTCTGCAGGCGCAGCAGCTTGTTTTTCAGTTAAAGGACGTTTTATAGTGAAATCTCAGCTCTAATTCCAGGCAGATTTTTTTTCATATTAAGTTGTAAAAATTTTGATTTATCTCAATTAACGTTGACTAATTGTGATGAATTATTATCAGCCTTAATCATGAATCACGTTAATGAATCCACAGCTACTCTGAAGTTCATTAACTGAGTGACCTAATAGAATTGTTGGCCTAGAACCATGTACCGTGATCTTGATTCATCTCGATTAATCATGATTAGTCATTATTAGTTAATTTCCCAGTTAGTCATGATTAATTGTGATGAATCAACAGCTACCCTTTGATTATTCCCCAGTTCGTAGTCTGGAGAGGCTAACGTGTAAAGAGAGACAAGATGGGGGAAGAGAGAGGGAGAGAGGGAGGAGGGCGGGGGGGTTGGTAAATATTTTCTCAAAAGCTCTAATTGAAATTGCATTTTAACTGCTCACTGGACCGTGAGCTGTGGGAGTCAGGAGCCGGGGAGCCGGCGTTTTTGAATTGCAAATGTAATTTTCATTTTTCCTCCTTTTTTCCTCGGAGACTCTGGAAAATTGCCACCAGATATGTTTTTCTGCAGCAGCCAATTTTTCCAGGTTGAGCGTTTCATTATAGCAGTACCTGTTGTGATTAAGGTTGAGATTGAGCTGCAGTGTGAACAGAGCTGGTTCTCCTGTCAGAGAAATGGGATTCAGTTGGTGCCTGATGAACGGGAGTGAACGTCAGGAGCGGGAAATCAGCAGGTCGTTTACTGAGAGAGGAGTTTTTCTCCACTGATTATTCTGTAATTCATTGTCCAATTGTTGTGATGGAGTAAATAAGATGAAGACACTGGAAAAATCCCTTCATCTAAATGGAGATTCAAGGGAAACAACTTTATATTATGATGTCAGTGAACAGTTTCTGCTCTGAAGTACTGCAGTATTTGCAGTATTTTCATCGCCTCGTCGGTTAAATACATTCAGTTTAGATAAATCCAGAAATATCTTTTCTTCCTGTTGAATCTTGGTTCCGTGCGTCTCTGTGACAGTTGGACTTTATTACTGAGAAAATCTGAAGTCTGTTTCTGATCACAAAGTGAGATCAGAACTCTTTCTTTTCTTTTCAAAGTCAGACCCTCGTAAAAGGAGGGTAAAAAAAAACTGACCATTAAAAAGTAATAAGAAAAGTCATAAACTGTTACTGTCACTTTGACACATTTGAATAACCAGTATTTTATGGAGTAAATAAGTTAAAGATTTAACTGAAAAGATTTTTTGAGGGGGCAGCATATTGGAAGAGTGGTTAGCACCTTTGCCTTACTGCAGTAACATGACCGGTTTGATCCCCACAAACTGATAACTAAAGGAATTAGAAACATTTAAAAAAAGATGCATTTATTTAAAAATGTATTTCTCTTTCTTGGTGTAACCCCGGCCTCTCCTGATCTCGGCAGTGATTGGCTGCAGCTCCTCTGTGACCTTGAAAAGCCTTGAACAGTAGAAAAGGAATGAGTAAATAAAATGGACTGGATCGACAAATTGAAAAAGGTGAAAATGAACGACTTTTCCCTGAGGTCCTGTGTGTAATCTGCTCAGAGCCCAGGAGGGGGCGAGACAAAGTGAGGACTCCCTGGTGTCTCTGTGATTCCACAGTCTGTCTGCAGAGCTGAATCAATATCTGCTTCAAAAAGGCCTGTCATACTGTGTGTGTGTGTGTGTGTGTTAGAACCCTAAGTGGTTTTGACTTGATATCCTTCACCGTCTCATTTGCTGGTCACCAACAAGGTCGTTTAACGTCACGTACGTATTCCTGGAGCGGAGTGTTCTAACCTGAGCTGACAGCTGCAGCAGAGGAGCTCCGTCTCTGTTCTCCTGCTCCTCCTGCTCCTCCACCACATCAGACTTTTCCAAATCCCCTGTCAAACGGCTCAACAGGCCTGACTGCTGAACAGCCTGATGGATGAGCCAATGAAGAGAGGAGTCGAGAGTCTGACGCCGGAGAACGTGGAGGTTCACCGCCTGACACCCCCCTCCTCTCCCCTTAAATCGCCTCCAGGTTTTGACACACCATTTCCTCTGTGATTTGTGGTTGGACGGGTCTTGAACCAGACAAGGAAATGTTGTGTCCTCATGAGAACAGATGGATGTTGCAGCGCAGGCGCCTGATTGGACGGTTGGCTCCTCTTTGTTTTGGGTTCAGCTTTGGTCCTGGCAATTCAGGCCTTGGTGCCACAGCTGCCCTGGCAGAGCAGCTGACTGCTCCATCATCTGGGATCAGGACTCGGAATGTTGTTGGGTCTCTATATATATTATATATATATATATTTATATATATATTTCAGTGTATGGATGTTACCTTCACAACAGTCCTGCTCCAAATACCTGTTGTTGTACCAACTATTCAAAGTAACACACACGTAACAACATCCTGTTTTCTGGCGGTTCTACAGCGCCCCCTCCTGTTGTTATTTAGTATGTTCTTCTCGTCTCTTATGTCTTGTTTCATCCAGGATCAAAGTTTGACTCTCTTCCCAGTGTGATTACAGATAATGCCAGAAAAGAATGCACTGATGTAACGTTGTTGTAACCAGTAGAATGGTCAGTGTTTGATTTCCCTCCTCCACAGTTTGATCTTGACTGGGGGGTGTTCAGCCTCCAGCTGCCCCCCCCCAACCCCCCTCCACCCCTGGGATGTTTGATGTTTGAGATCAGAGCCTGTGATGGTGCAGACACACTCTGGCTGTTGGGGGTGAGGGTGGGGGGAGGACGGGGGTGCAGTGGAGGGGGGAGGCTTCGCCGCTGTGTCGCGCCACATCCAATCTTCTCAGCATCAGATAACTTCAAAGAATCAGCAAAATACCGTCTTCCTAAAAAAAAAAAATCCCAAGTTCCCCCTGGTGTTGTCTGTTAGATTAGCAGCATGTTATTGAAGTTTACTGAAGAAAAAAAACTTTCAGAAATGTAGCTCTGCTCACACCTCACCTCAGATTCCATCTCTGGCTGATTCTCTCTCTCTCTCTCTCTCTCTCTTCTCTGCATTGATCTTCAGCTCCGTTCTGCCAATAGCTCCTCTGCTGTTAGACCTCCATCACGTATCCATTATTCATGTCTGTGCGCTGCTCCGCGGTAACATCCACCTCCAGGATGAAAACTCCAAACATCACAACTAACGATCTTTTTATTGTCTTTTGTCATCAATCCATGAACGCCTACATTCTGACGGCAATTCATTTTATGCAACATTTATCACTGGGGTCTCTGTGCCCCCCCTCCACCTCCCGCTCCCCTCCAATCAATCAGTTCAGGGATCAATGGTATTTACAACATTGAGTCACAGTGACGCTGGTATAAAAATCACAGTTTTCTCCAACGTAATGATTTGATTTTTTATGTTGAAAATGAAGTCGAAGGCCGGATCGGACGGCTCAGCGAGCTGGAAATGGCCCACAGGCCACCGGTTGATGGACACTGGACTAGACATTTGCTCAAACGACAGCAGCTCGGACGTGTCTGGCTGATGAAGCTGCGTTGACGTTTTAGTTATTGGAGAATCTTAATCAGAAATGAATCAGACTTTCATGGACGGGAGCCAAAAAAAACTGTTCTGGAAATAAAATTAGAGCAAAGTCAATAAAACCGACAGATGAACACAGTGAAGTGACGGTGGAGGATGGATGGAACTGTCGTCAAAGAGCATTGATTTAAATAACTGTCAAAATTAAAAACTTTGTCTGCAGAGAACAACTCAGATAAAAAATATATATATATCGGCGTCAGGAGTGAAAACAAACTGAGGTGAAATATTCACAGGTTTAAAAAAGATGAACTCCTTATTTCCTCCGCTGGTTCAACCTGTCAGGGTTTGTATTAAAGTGAAAAGCCATTGTTTGAAGCAGCTGTAGTAAAATGTAGCCTCTTTATGTCGGTGCATGATTTTTCTTGTCTGCTTTGTTTATTTTCTTTTCGACACTTGCTCTATTTTTACGATGTTATTCAGTGTTGGACTTTTATCGCTCACTAAATTTGCTGCCTCACAGACTCAGCGTTTGTCAGCCACGTTCCCCAGCAGATAAAGCCCAGTGTTGGAGGAACGTTTTTTCCAGTTTTCCAGCTGGTGATTTACTGGTGTGGAGAAATGAAGAAATGTTTTGTTTTGTTTTTTTTGTCAGGTTTTAGTCCATGACGTCTGTGAGCCTCACTCTGCCCTCTCTCTCTCTCTCTCTCCGTCCCTTCACAGAGGAAGTCGTTGATCGCCACCAGCCTGATCGTGGCGGTGTCGCTCTTCGTGGTCGTGGTGAACTACACGGAGAAGTCCTACTACCTCCTGCAGCCCGTCTTTGGTCAGACCTTCAGGAGACCCTGGATGTTCTCCAAGCCGCCGTACAAGGCCTTCAAGCCTCACCTGGGCTACATCAGCATCCCCACACAGAAGGTGAGGGGCCGCAGGTCGTCACGGACACACACACACTTCAGGGTTGTCTCCCGTCGTCCTCAGAGCTGCTGTTCCGAGGTGTTACGGCCTCATTTCTCCGAGCGGCGTCTTGGTTTAATATGCAAATGAAGTCAGAGTTGATCCATCAGCTCAGAGCTGTACATTAGTGTGAAATTACTTCCATAACACAAAACCCACAGCCTCTAATGTGGTTTCACTGCACAATATCACACAGCACTGGGTGTAAATAACACATTAGGCCATTACCTGCTCAGTGGAGAGGGATTCTGTTTGGCTAAATTAAAAGATGAAGTCAATAAAACTTTTACTCTCACAGATGAAACTCACGGACAGGAAGCCGTTCGCTTCGTGTTCATCATCAGCGAGAAGCTAAAGGATTAGCATTTCCTAAAGTGGTCAAAATGTTTTTAAATTCACCACATTATATTTATTTAAGAGACGTGAATAATGCCGCGGCCTGTAGAGGGCGCCGGTCTGCCTGCCTTTCTTTCTTCTTTTGATCGACTCTGTCCCTGGTGTGATGAATGTCTTAGCAGTAGAAATAGAAAGCATTTGTCTTCAGGCGCTTTACATCCACACACTGCTGGTTTATCACTGCTGAGACAGAAAGTCAATCATTTCATTTAGAGCTGAGGATGTTACACCACTCACTGCCGCGATGATTCCCTTCATCTGGACTTGGTTAGACCAGCGTGAAACGACGTATCGCAATATTTCAATGTATCGATATTTTCTCCTTTTTTTCATATTTTTTCAGATTGGATTTTATGTGCAGTGGGAGGGAAGTAGTGGTTGTTTTGTCCTTTGTTTTGTTTTTGAAAATATTTTTTTTAACTGACGGTGAAGAGAAAAGAATGTATAAATGAGAAGGAAATTAAATCAGGGAGGTTAAAAAATTGACTTTCAAAATTTTCACATTGTGCTCCTGCTCCAAAAGATGCTTCATATATATTTATATAAAAAAAAATTCCCATATTCCTTCAGGTAAAAGTTCAAAGACTCGGCGTCTCCCTCTGAGCAGTTTACAGTCAGAGCAGTAAACATTGACCGGCAGCGTAATTGGTTTTAACATCTACACGTGTTAAGAAACTCCTCCGAGGCTGATCCAATAACTAAGAGCCAACAGGAGGATTTTCAGGAGCTCTGGATTCCAGCTGCCAACACAGCCATGAATAAATATTACATCCTGTAAATCAATAAAATGTTACGGCCTCCCTCGCCGCTTGGCCGTGATTCACATTTCACTCTCATATTCACGGCGCTGCTGTTTCAGGACGGCGTGCTGTAATTGTACACAGAGTACTTTTATAATCCCAATAAATTTGTCTCCCTCTGATAAGCACCGAATACCTCGGCGCAGCCGCGCAGTTTAATGCCCCAGTGTGTGGAAAATTAAAGCTGGTTATTGGAGGAAAATATGCAGGATTAATTCTGGGGACATGGTCGTCATTTAATTACACCGCGGGGATGTGAACTCAACCTTGGAAATTGTTAGGAATATTGTAAACGTGATTAATTACTCAGCAGCACTCATTACTTTTGAATGGCAGTTTAAAATTCCTCACTGAGCGAGAAATTCTTCTGCTTCGACGTTGTGTGATTTACTGTCCAGTGGCTGGAAACATTCATCAGGAATTGGAAT